TAGTATGATGTAGTATAGTAAATATATTACTAAAATATAGTATAGTAAATAAATTACTATAACATAGAATAGTAAATATATTATTATAATATAGTATAGTAAATATATTACTATGATATAATATAGTAAATATATTACTAAAATATAGTACAGTAAACATATTACTATAACATAGCATAATAAATAAATTACTATAATCCATCATACTAATTATATCACTATAATATAATACTATAACAATTCAAACTACAGTTCCTCCATCAAGCACATTTTGAGCACCAAAAGAAAAATTCGAAAATTTCGTGGCGTCACTTACGCGGCCGATCGAACGGAATTCCATTTTACATTCCACTAAGTACTCACATGACCATTGGAACAGCTCGCTGATAAAAGCGAGGAATATTACCAAGCTCTTGTACATCTCGGCCATAGCAATTACGAACAACCTACCGAGAAAAATCATATCAGATCAGGTAAACAACGGAATCGGTATTTTCCTCGAATTGATTCACTCTTATTTCCGTCTGAAGTTTACGAACAAGAACCCGGCGACCTTCGGTACTTCGTAATTATACCGCGGGTCGTCGGAACACGATAAATCAATCGATCGAACAACAAAACCAAAACTCTCCGTCGAGGATACACGTTCTTTTTGTTACTCGCGGAGATTTGCATACGAAAACTGGATATCGCGCAAACCCGTTCACAATTAACGACACCGAGTGACTCGCAATTTCGGCAATTTTTCTCAACAAATTTTCATTATTTTCTCATGGAATATCGATGATATTTTTTGCAACTATCACAAAGAGATACCTTGTATAAATTGAGTGACAGAACTGGTTTATTTCGATCTTCCATGTGTTGATACATTATAGAAAATTTGATAGTGAATTCTAAATTTTATTATCTTGTTCAAATCGAATGGCGATTGAAAGGCGCCGCTCGAGTGCGAAGGGTTAATATTTCGAATTAAACTTTGCATTGCTACGTGAAATATTTCAATGAAACACCTCTGTTGCTTAATTTATCTACGAATTATCGTTAAATTAATTTCAAACAATATGATCTCGTCAGAAAATGTTGAATATTTCCATTGAGAAACTTTCGAGTGCAAAGGATTAAAATCAAGAAACACCGCAAAAGATCCCAACGGAAAGATCAAAGCCTAAAAATCTACATCCTCGTCATCTCGACTCATAAATCATTCCACGAGCTCCATAAAAAACCGCATTCCTAGCATCCATCAAAAAAACACCAGTTCAACGCGAATATCATTCGCAGAATCCAACAATCTCCCTGAACCACGAATCTCAGACAAAATCCAAATAAACTTCGACGAACGAGAAACTTCGACGCGAGTCACTCGACAACGAAGACAGTATCCTCGCGATCGGCTTTGGTCTCTGAATTCACGTCGAGCGTGTAACCGCGAGTGACTCACCGTGCATAATTCTACGCTCGAGTTGCGAGCTGGCCGTGTTCACGGCGAACGAAAGAAATCGAAGGAACGAATCCGATCGGCAACGATCGCGACGAAGTCCTGAGAACGCGGCGCGGTGGCCGGAAGCGGCGAGGATGCCTGGCGAACGGTGCAGAAGCGCGACGATGCGTCGCCGATCGGCAAAGATCAACTAAACGGCGACTCGCCGCGGACCTGCGAGACTCGCGACCGGCGTGCGCGTCCGCAACGCCCCCTTTCATCTTCGCGCCGATGGCACCCGGCACTTTTTCCTGCTGCCGAAGCACGAAACTGGAAAGCCAACATTCCGCCGCGAATGATCCCGAGCCGGGAGACCTTGGAATCGCAATGATCCTCCGCGGACGGCATCATCGAGGAGACGGGCACGCTCGTATCGCGCATAATCGCCGGATACTTGCGGCTGTTTCCTGTTGTAAAAGTTTCCTTTGGTTTGTCGATGTACGACGGAGAGTTTTACGTTATCGAATTGACGGTTTGCTTGATCTGCTAGGTTATGTTTGAAAAATTTCGTGACGGGGATTGGAGGATTTATCTTTTACGCGATTCTGTGACGATTGAGAGAGTGGAGTGTGTTCTGGGATTCCCTGGTTAGACGGGCGAAGCTTTGACTCATTCCTCGTTTTGCTGACAGTACTGATTGTTTTCGTTATAGTACTAAACTAACGGCGGCATTCTCCTGAGAAAAACGAGCCCAAACACGACCTCCTTCGCGCGCTTCTAGCGAACAGGAGACGCATTCTTCGAAGTACAGAAGTGCTTCGATCGAGGTACTCGTGATGAAAGTGCTCCGAATGGTACCGTGTTTGTACTCGTTTTAACCGGGAGAACCTCGGCAAGAGGATTACGACTGTCTCGATGAGATACAAGGAACACCATAAGAATTCGAATATTCGAAAGCTTTTCTTTATGTTTAGAAACCGTGGGCGCAGAATAACATAGATCCTTTCAGTCATGACAGTTCTATCAAATGGTCTTTATTGGCATAGAAAATACAACTTGAACGATTCGTGTAGTAGAGGAAATGGTTCCGTCGAATCCTCAGTTCCGCAGATCGCATCGCGCGGCGATTTAGCATAAAACCATCTCGCAGATGTACGCGTGCTTCTCGGTGCACTCGACGTCGTCCATTCCGTGCTCCTTGAAGACCGCGCAGTTTTGATTGCCGCCGTAATTATCCGGCTGATAGGGGAACGGGTCGGTCGACCATCTCTCATAGTCCAGTCGTTTGCCTTCGACGGTTACCCATTCGCCTTCTTCGAATTGGTCGTGAGCACCTAACCAACAGCTGCTCACTTTCTCCTTCTTCATCCATTCGTGCAAGTATTGCTCCGCGAGGGGCGACCTTATCACGGCTAACTGACCTACGGGACAATCGTTATCAATTTCTTTCCGAGCTGCTCCTATCTTTGAACCTAAACGCCGATCGTTGAACATCTTATTCTTATCTTCGGTACCAACGTTCATTTCGTTTCTCTCTCTCAAACATCGAGAATTCGCTGAGCTTTTGTATGAAATTAACCCTTTGAACCCTGTAGGCTTCAATATTGCACCAGTTATATCAAATATTTTAACGAATCAAAGAAACTACCTTAAAATTATTCAATTTCCCACACATTTTTCTTTATATTTCAATCATATATTATTAATATTATTACAACATTACTTCGTTTATATATTTTCAGCACTAGTATAAGATTGCTTTACATTTCATTCATATATTATTAACCCTTTGAACTCTGTAAGCTCCAATATTGCAGCAGTTATATCAATTATTTTAACGAATCAAAGAAACTACCCTAAAATTATTAGATTTTCCACATATCCGAATTTTCTACTCACAAGGAAAATAAAAGATCGAAGGAACGTTACAGAATTTCTCATTTTCGCTAGGAATACCATAGAAATTAGTTGCAGTTGCTGATTAATACGTTGACTGTTACGAGAATTTCGTGCGTTTTGTATAGTATCAATTATTAATTATTTGGTACAATACTTCTTGAGTCATACTATTATCCAGTTGCTCACGCGACTGAATATTGCCATTCAACATCAATTTCTTTATTGTACTCGCTGTTAAGAAATCTTAAAGCTACGGTCATCGGTGACCATAAATCAGTAGAAATTTCAATGAGCCACAAAAATAGGAAAAATTGCAAACGCCATAATAATTCCGGAGTGCTAAGGGTTAAACGACTTAATCGACGAAACAACGATATCAAATGGACAATCGCGTCGTCTGTCGCCGGTTTCTTTTGAAGCAATCAAGTGTCTAATTAATTCCCCGATTTTACAACAATCGAGCGGAGAGCAAGCAGTTCGTTTATAGATTTTATTTCACACGCGGAACGCTGCTTTGATAACGGCGAATTGGGCACGCACGGCGAACCGTGACACGGTCAACAGACGCCGACAATAGTTCGCGACCCCTAACGATAAACTTGACATTGGGATTCCCGCGAGATTAATGAGTCCCATTTATCATCCGGTCCATTCTCAACTTCGTTATCAATTGCACCGAGTTTCCTCGTTCCACTTGTTTTTCGAGACCGTTTACACGGCGCTCTACGATGAAAACCTATTGTCGCGTAATAGTGCTATCGCGACGTTGACCCATTCGACGAAAAACACGGAGTGTTTTGATTGAGTGGCTATAGTTAATTACGGCCAAGTTGAGTCTCGTCGATACGGTGTCGAATAATAAGGAAAAAGTCTTGGCGATTAGAGTGGAACGAGAGTCGAGCGAAGTTATTCATTTGCCATTGATGTTTTTATAGATGTTTCTCTGATCTTGACAATAACTGTCAACTGACAATTTATGGATACCATTGGAAAGATTGATAAGAGCAATCACTTTAGCTTTGTATTCAAATATAAAGCAGTTGGACTAGAAATCGAATTCAACAGAAATAAATATTACTCAATCATTTTCAATTCAAGTGAAATATTATTCTTCTCTTATCAATCATTATACCTCAGAGTAAACAAAGATATAGAATATTCCTAGAATCTTCAGATATAAATATCAATTATTTTCAATTCAAATTCAAGTATTCTTCTGTTATCAATCTATACTTCAGACTAAACACAGATATAAAATATTCCTAAAATCTTCAGACATAAATATCAATTATTTTCAATTCAAACTGAACATTATTCTTCTATCAATCATACTACTCCAAAGCAAATACAGACACAAAACATCCCCCCAATTCTCCCTATCTTCAACAAATTATAAATCTCAAGCAACACGTATCAGACCTAACAAACAAATCACAAGAAAATGCTAATCAGGTTAATCAGACGAAACACTTCATCGTTCACGTGGAACTAAAGAAACCTTCCCACCCGTTATCACTAATACCGAAGGAACGATGATTACCTCCTTCCTCCAAACACGACTTCCTCGCCCGATTCCAGGTCATCTTACGCATGTGGAGCTTATGGAACCCCTTGTCCGGGGTAATAACATAATCGTCCCTGACCATTTGCGTGACACAGGTCCTGAACTTCTTCTGCCATTGGTTCGGCGAGGAGCTAATAAAAAACACCTGTTGCGCGGCCTGATAATTGTGATTACCGTTCAGATTAACTATCGGCGGCTGGTTACCTGGAAAACAAGCGCTGCCGAAAGTAAGAAACGCCGATCCGCGATCGCAGATCGAGAGTCCGTGTCGCGATTAATTATGGAATCCGAACCGACGCAAAACCGGACCGCGCGATTATGCAAATTTTTATTTCGCTAGGGCCCCACGTGTTCTGAAAACAAGCATTAATGGAGCTTATAATCGCGCGTCGCCGATGAATAATTCATAACCGTTCCGCCGGCACGATTATACGATTTAAATTTCGCGTGTAGCTCGCGTGATTTGTGCGGGGAAAGTAATATGGCGGAGGCGCCGTTTGGGAAATTGTGTTTGTTTCTCGTTTGAAGAGATTAGAACATTTGGAAGAGAATTGATCGAGTATTGATTGGAAGTTTGAGTGATCGATTGGAAGATTTATCGAAATATTTGTGGAACGGTGATTTGAACTTTGATCGAATTGAATGTTGATTCGATGGTTTATCCAAATAAACATAGAACGATGATTCGAACTTTGATCAAATTGAAAATTGATCTGCTTGATGAATAATCGGGTATTAACTGGAATCTTTGAATGATCAATTGGAAGATTTATCGAAATAATTGATCGATTTGAAAATTGACCTGCTGTTGAAACAATTCTGTTTAATTTGAGTGAAAAACTGTTTTCTTAACTTTTCACATGAAAATGTTTTCATTTCCACCGTCCTAGTATTTTTCAAATGCCACCCTGTATATTTAGGTAATCCAGCATCAATGCAGCAACAATCATCTCTTCGATCAAGCTCCAGGACCTCTTAATTACCCATTCACTTCTACAAAATGAATCATAAGTTGAACATTCATAATCCAAGAATGTTATTTTCGAATCGATAATGAGGGCCGAATAACATCGATGTTAATCGAATTCGACGGAAACCCTTCGACTCTCGAGCCTCGCACAGTTATTATTCATCATTGAAATCTCCATATTATTATCATAGCTCGTAATCGTCAGCTTAAAAACGACTATTCTTAACCAAGATTATTGACGACTTCATTTAAATGAAGTCTTCGCCATTTCATTAGAAAACTTCTAATGAAAGTAACGAAACAAAAGCATATTCGAAACATGTTCATAATAAAGAAACTTCACTAAGTACCCAAGAGTCTTAATTAATCCAGGATTAATATTAAAAACCTGTTCTATAAGGGAACCGAATAATTCCAAACACGAAAATACTCTCTCACGCCTAATTACAATCACCAATCCAATCAAATCCAAACAACGAATACAAACACAAGAAACCAAAGAAAAAGGGAACAGAAGGGTCCACGAAACTCGGTATCCCGAAGAACATTAATATTCACCTGCGGCTGGAAGAAGGCTCTCGTTGAATATCGACCGGTCTCTGAAGATCGCGCCGATCGTAACATCGATGTCCCTGTTCTCTCCAGGAACCTGCGCGACCGTCGTGCTCGCGAGAGCAACGACAACCAGCAGATACATATACATACTCCAACAAACGCAAAAACCAAAGACAATCCTCCTATCACCACGAGAATCTCTCCAAAAGATCCTCACTGCAGACTCTTATTAATATTCCTCTCGAAAAATCCTCTTAGATCTCAAGCCTCTATCTGTGAATCGTGCGTCCGAGTTAATAGAATAAATTGATCCTCGAGAATAAATCTCGTTAAGTCTCCTTAACGATCGAATCCTGTTCAAATCGAATTGCTTGCAGTCTCTGGATACGATAATCTCTCGTTAGTGTGATCGTAGAATCGGATCCAATTGTTCGATCGTGGCCTTGAACTTCGTTGCGACGTCAATCGTATTAGTCTTCTTGACGGATGAAATCACGCTCGAATGGAATTGTTTGAGATTTCATTGGACGGGACGAGCGTGGCGATGGAGAATCTGATGGATCGATTCACCGATTTCGGTTCCACGGGATTTTCAATGGTGAAACGTGCGACGGAGACGCATCGAACGTGATCCGCGAGGCTGAACTGACCGGTAACTCGCCGGCGGCCGCGAGTTCGAGCGTTCTTCTGTCTCCGTCCGTCCGTCCTTCCTCCTCTTCGCGTCAGCCGGCTCCTCTCTCGCCGCTCCGACGCGATACCGTAGGTTTATCCTTTTTCCTCGTGTTGCTCGAGGAAGACTGCGACCAAACTGGAAATACCGGCGGCATATTCTGTGCAGCCGCGGAATCCTGAATCGCGACGCGCGATCTGCGGAGGACGACTTATCCGCTTGATCGATGAATCGAGTACTGGCTCGGTATTCGGCGTGTGTTGCGCTTAGATTGTTCGGTAGCGGCGTTGATTGCGTCGAGGAATTTTGACGAGGCTTGGTTAGCCGGCGATTAGTTTAGGTTTCAGAATTAGGCAGCTGGGCTTCGTTCGGTTTCGTTGAGGTTGGGGTAATTGCCTTTGAGATATTGGTGGGGTTGGGAGCTTGGCAGCTTGGAGAGCTTGGGAACTTTGAGGAGGTGATTGTCTTGAGGTTTTGGTATTTTGAGATTTTGGTAATTATGAGATATTGGTAACTTTGAGATCCTGGTAGCTCCGAGATCTTGGTAACTTTGAAATCTTGGCAATTCTGAGATCTTGATAACTCTGAGATCTTGGTAGCTCTGAGATCTTGGTAACTCTGAGACCTTGATAATATTGAGATCTTGACGACTTTGAAATCGTGGTAATTGTGAGACCTTGATAATCTTCATATTTTGGCAACTTTGAAATCTTGGCAACTCTGAGACCTTGGTAACTCTGAGACTTTGGCAACTTTGAGACCTTGACAATTTTGAGATCTTGGTAACTATGAGACCTTGGTAACTCTGATACCTTGATAACTTTGAGATTTTGGCAACTTTCAGACGTCGATAACTGTGAAATCTTGATAACTTTGAGATCTTGGCAACTTTGAGACCTCGATAACATTGAGATCTTGACAACTTTGAGATCTCGGTAAGCTTGAGACCTTGATAACTTCGAGACCCTGATGATCTCGACAATTTCGAGACCCTGACAACTTTGAGGCCTTATTGATATTAAAACCCAATCAACATCGTCACCTCAACACAAAAACCTCAATTCCATTCGAACTAATTTCCAAAAATCCATATGAATAACGTCACAACCTCTGTACCAAAGAAATGTTTCATGTATAACTTCTCGATCCACTAATCGCCACGATCAAACGCAATAGCAAAGGCAATCAGTGACAATCGTAAGTTAACCGTGGCGACCGGTTGCAAGCCTATTGAAACAAACGGCCAATGATTCGCAAGCATCGCAGCCGGCTTCGCAAGGGATGAAACGACATGCTGATAATGGCGCGCCCTGTGCAGTGATTCGCTATTCAGCTGGAGTAGAGCCGCGTTCCGGTTCATCGTTCACTGTTACGCCCCTACTTGCGCTTAAATCCTGCTCAAGCTTGATCGCGACGATGCGAACGGGGCATCGGCTATTGTGAAATAGGTCGTCAGACGATTGGCAGGTGAGGAACTGAATTCGAACGCTGTTTCCATGAGAACGATGTATTTACACATGTACGTACACTCGATAATTAATTAATTTCATACAATAACAGCTTGCGCATCGTGTTTATCATTTAACAATGAGAATTAGATTTGCTCTTGTATTTACATAAATCGATCATTTCTGAGACATGGGAGATCATTAACGGTTTGTGGATGAATGTCGGCATTTTGCTGAGATCAAACTTCCATGTTTGGAATACCAAGTTGCAAATTAATTAATTTCATATAATAACAGCTTGCGCATCGTGTTTATCATGTAATAATGAGAATTAGATTTGCTCTTGTATTTACATAAATGGATCATTTCTGAGACATGGGAGATCATTAACGGTTTGTGGATGAATGTCGGCATTTTGCTGAGATCAAACTTCCATGTTTGGAGTACCAAGTTGCAAACAAATGATTTAACTATTCGAACAGCAAGAAATCAGTATATAGTTTCTTTATTGTCTATGATTTAAGTATTCAGCGTTTAATTTAGCAGAATCTGTGAATGATTTTGTGTGAAAACAATCTTCGACTGCAAAGGGTTAAGACGGTTTAATAACTTCTGTTTAATTACTGATGAATGAATGGGAACTTCCCAATATGAATACGAAGTTTATCAACTTCCCCAGAGTTTTCAGAAGATTTACTCGATCCTTGTTCATCTCCATTGTTGTTTTTATTCCAGTCAGACGAAGGATCTAAAAAGAAGATTGTAGTGGCTTTTACTAGCTTTTCGAATGATTTTCGAATCACGTTTCTTAAATGAGTCGGTAATCGTCGTATCGAAGGTAAACGCTTAAATTTGTATCTTTGTTACCTGATTGGTTCAACTTTGGATGAGACTCATCTCCTAGCACGTTCAGGGTTAGAGTAATCAAACTATCTACAAGAAAATGAAACATTCTAGAATTACAGAACAATTAATACGATCGCTATGCAATCGCTATAAAGATTCTAATAATTATTTTCAGTTTCTTTGGACATTCATTGTAGCTTTTGAGAGAAACTATTTATTTTCGAGATCATTTCGAGTATTCAATGCTTTGATATCAATAATTAAGGAACATTTTAGCATTCCAGAGAAACTATTTATTTTCAAGATCATTTCGAGTGTTCAATGCTTTGATATCAATAATTCAGAAACATTTTAGCATTCGAGTGAAATTATTTATTGTCGAGATCATTTCGAGTGTTCAATGCTTTGATATCAATAATCGCGAAACATTTTAACTGGTAAATAATTCCAGTATTAAGATAATGTTAATTACTTTCTAATTCGAGTTCGTCTTATCATTAATGATTCTACCTATCCAAAAAATATCAGAGACACCATGTTACCTGAAGCTTTCGTTTTCGTTTGATTTCCCAGTATATTCAAGTTGATGCTAAGCACAGAACCCGAGCCTAACAGCCTGCTGGAGTTTCCTTTGTTCCCACCTAAAAAGTTCGCCACGATTTTGTGAATCCTTTGTTCCGTTTACTTCACTTGGCAACTAACTAACTAGCCTAATTAAGAATACATCAACTGGATTTTATAAGATTCTATTCGACGACTGTTTCCGATTCGATCTAACCGAGTTTCTGTTCCATTGTTCGCCGTTATGGCCGTGTTACCTGGCAACAAATTTTTCACAACATTATCCAAGGTTCCGCCAAGGTCGTCTAACACGCCCCCAAGGTCGTCTACCAGACCCTCAAGGCCACCTTTCGCCCCATCTACAAGAAAGTCCCCGCTGAATCGTTTGAAATATTAGCCTACCCCATAGATTTGTTTCATGGTGTAATTGTAATGATTCGTTTGGCAGAGATCGTGGGAAGATGACAGTGTCAGGCTTTGGGGAAAGACAAGATAGAATCGGTACGATCGGAATGTAAAATAAATTGGAGTTACGTGATAACACATGAAATGTTGTGAATTAATTATATCGATTACGAGTAGCGAATTATGAGCACCGTGAACATATCTCCATTTATGAGAAATAAAATTTTTTTTATATGATTCCATGTGTAATTTAATTATTTATTTTGTTTGAAAGCACTTTCTCAGTACTTCGTAAATTTCTGAACATTCTTTTTCGTGCGGTTTCTTTTATGCGGTCCCTATCTACCGCACAAAAACAGGGTTGACTATTATTTCTTTCGTTAAGCTATGCGAAATAAATATCTTTTCTCTTCGATACTGTTTCTCTTGCGAGTAAAAAAATTCTCGTTCGCGTAAATCGCGGTAATAAAATTCAGCGATAATTTCGATCGAACCGATTCTTTTCTCTGATTTTTCGTGACTTCTTTAATTTCTTCCTTTTTCATCGTTGCTCAGGCGTGGATCGAAGATTACTGACGCGTTACCTGATTTAGTTGCGTTGTTTGAACCTGGGTGGGTCGCGTTACGTGGTAGGTTCAGCGTGATGCAAAGCAGGTTGCCTAACAGTGGCAAATTCAAGCAGAAGTGCTTTTCCCCGGCTAGAAGAAGATTCTTCGATAGTGCTCGATATTTCCTTTGCAGGGGTTCGATTGAATTTCAATTGAAATTGCATTGCTTTACGAATGGAAGCCTATCGATTACAGGTAACCTAATTTTCTCCTAGATTTGCTGGGTTTCTCAATTAAGCTTTTTCAATCGAACAGTTCGAGTTGATGTAGTTGTTACGTGAGAAATCAGTTGTGTTTTAAATAAAAATAAATTACTGTGACTACATTTCTACTTCAGTGAAAGGAAAATGTGTTTGTACAATTACGTTGCGTTATGTTTTTAATTATATACTATATACTGTATACCTTGTGTTTACAACTAATTTTTATAGTATTAGCAAAAATGAGAAATGCTATAACATTTCGTCGATTTTTCATTTTCCTTAGTACAAAATTTGGACCTGTGGAAAATCTAATGATTTTACGGTAGTTTTTTAAAGATTCATTAAAATATTTAATATTGTAACTGGTGCAATACTGGAGCCTACACAGTTCAAAGGGTTAATTATAATTTATATATCCTCAGCATCAGCATAACATTGCTTCATACTTCAATCATATATTATTAATATTACTGATACACAATTTTATATTTCAATATATATATTACCTGAACTGCCATCGTCAGATTGATCACCGAGTACATTCACGTTAACATTGATTAGATCAAGCTCATCGCTCGCGTTTCCAGAGACCACGGTCCCAGCGGTTAGAGCAAGTACGACCACAATTATTTTGAACATGTTGTCCTGTGTCTCTCTGACTCGATTGCGTCGAGTAGCCGACAGAACTTGCTCTTTTATACTAGCCCGCTGGCGAAAGTGACGTCTGATAAGATAAAGCATCGGATAGTTATAGGTATTAAAGAAATTATGCGAGGGATTACTCTCGCCGCGTTATTTTCCACTATAATATGTCCTCATGTTTATATTTGCACAGTAAAAAGACTAAATTCTCATTTGTCCATGGAATTTCTCCAGTGAGATCATTCAGTTGAACCATTTAACAATAGAAACACTGAAAGTGTAATGGAAAATGGTGGCTGTTTTGGTTATGTTGTGGTTATAATTTTTATTGCATTATAAAATGGTTAGGATGTTATATATAACATGGTTCTAATTTATATTTCATTATAAAAGAGTTATGATGTAATATATAATATAGTTATAATTTATATTGCATTATAAGATAGTTACAATGTAATATATAATATAGTTGTAATTTATATTACATTATAAGATGGATATAATGTAATATAAAATATGGTTGTAATTTATATTACATTATAAAAAAGTTATGATGTAATATATAACATAACTGAGTGATTTTAACTTTCCGAGTTCTAGTGTGAAAGAATGTTTAATCATCGAAAACATTTCGATTCCCTTCGACGAGCATTTAACAGGTCCCGTAACCGATGTTCAATTTATTCGACTGTCGAATATTCTCGATTTTATTTAAAGAATATGTAATTCAACGAATTCCACTTGATTACGTTTAACGAGCGATCGATCGCCGCACGTAATGAATCTTCAATCGTTCGCCGGACTTTTTCGAATATTCGAGTAAGTAATTCGATGAACGTTTCCCTTTCTATTTGGCCAGTATTTAATGAATATTTCGCGAGCGTTCGACAAATATCCCACCCGATAAATGGCCATCAGTTCCATTCCCTAGTAAAGCTTTTCCAAACAACATCCAAACACTTGTCCCTTTTAATATTCCCCAATGAATCAATTGGGAAAAAGCAATTCAAACAGTTCAATTTGCTTTGAACCAATGAAATCAACCAAGTTCAAGCGTTCCAGTTATTAAGATCGTTTAAGTATCGATGAATGTTCCAAGATTTCTAAAATCTGTTGATGATCTTAGTAGAAGAAGCTGATTCGCAATATTGATTTTTAAAATAATCTAGAAATCTCAGTTTTATCCACACGTGTGTTTCTTTGCCGAGATATTTGTCAAATAGACAATATTGAGATCTTGGCAACTTTGAGATCTTGATAACTGTGAGATCTTGGTAATTCTGAAACCTTGATAATCTTCAGATTTGGGCAACTTTGAGATCTTGGTAACTCTGAGACCTTGATAACTTGGAGATCTTGACAACTTTGAGACATTGATAACATTGAGATCTTGACAACTTTGAAATCTTGGTAATTCTGAGACCTTCATGACTCTGAGATCATGGTAGCTTTGAGATCTCGGTAACTCTGAGACCTTGATAACTTTGAGATCTTGGCAACTTTGAGACTTTGATAACATTAAGATCTTGATAACTACGAAATCTTGGTAATTTTGAGATCTTGATAGCTTTGAGATCTTGGTAGCTTTGAGATCTTGGTAACTCTGAGATCTTGGTAACACTGAGATCTTGGTAACTCTGAGACCTTGATAACTTTGAAATCTTGGCAACTTTGAGACCTTGATAATCTTGAGATCTTGACAACTTTGAGATCCTGGTAACTCCGAGACCAGAATAAGAAAGAAATCTCACTCGAAATCAGTTTTATTCACACGTGTGCTTTGCCAAGATATTTCTCAAATAGACAATATTACTACATCATTTTCAATATTATTAATAAAAAGAATCGTTTCCTTCTGTTCTATCAATTACACAATTGATACATAATTTAGCTTCATCTGTTGAAGGTTCGACACATTTCAAAGAATCTTCGTCCGCAAAGGGTCAAAGAATATTATTATTCAAAACCCCATAAATTCTCGTGGCGGTCAACGTGATATTCGACGGATAACATCGCCCGTGTTCACGTGAACGCGAAACACAGAGGAGCAGTATTTCCTCCGTGATCCCTCAAGCGGATATTACCGTTCCCGATCGTAGACGCGAGGTGAGATCGGGATAAAGACGTCGAGAGGAGCGAGGGACGGCGTCGTTCCGGCGGAATATGGCGGAATCACATTCGCAGGCCGAGGGTGGGCGAAACAAAGGGAATATAAAGTTGGTTACGTTCGGGATAGAAGTGGCCCGGACACGGCCGAAAGAAATTGAACGGGAACCGGATAAAATCCTGCAAACGGATTCGGCTGACAGACGATCCGGGATGCTGCCGAGATGAAACGGAATCGCTGGAGCGCGCGGGAACGGATGTCTGGGATCGGAGGGAAATTTGGGGTGGAAAGGGAAACGACATCGTCGTGGTTTCTATGGAGAACTTTCTTCTATTCGGTTTTTGGGGACTGAGTTGCGATTTCGAATTGAGATTGATGTTATATCGATAGGGATTCTTATAGAGATAGATTTTACAGCGATTATTGTGTTGATTGGTTAGGATGTCGGGATCGGAGGGAAATTAGGGGTGGGAAAGGGGAGACGAGATCGTGGTTTCTATGGAGAACATTCTTGTATTTGGTTTTTGGGAATTGAGTTGCGATTTCAAATTGAGATTGATGTTGTGTTGGTGGAGGTTCTTAGAGAGATAGATTTTACATCAATTATTGCGTTGATTGGTTGGTGTAGATTGATGGGGATTTTTGTAGATGTTTTGGATCTGGCGAGATTTGGGGATTGGTTGAGTTTCATTTGAAATTGATATTTAATATTGTGTTATATCGATGGCGATTATTAGAGAAATAGATTTTACAGCAATCAATTATTGTGTTGATTGGTTGGTGTTGTGGTAGACTGATGAAGAGTTCTGTAAATGTTTTGGAGCTGGCGAGGTTTGGAGATTGGTTGAGTTTCAGTTGAAATTGATATTTAATATTATAATAGGTTGACAGTAATTTTTATAAAAACTATAACTATCCACATCCACAAATTCTATCACAATTCAAAACTGATATTTAACATAGTACTAAATTAACAGTAACTCCTACACCGATTTCGAAGCAACAAATTTCCCTACTCTCCAATCCAAAAGAAATATTCCCAACTCCCACACCATGGAAATCTATTACCCTTCCAATAACAAAAGCAAGCAAAAACCAACCGGGCGCCGATAACCACAGACCAAAAACATTTCCACTTCGCCTCGAATCCCACGAACCATCCAACAGAAAGCGTAAATTCCAACTTTTCCTCTAACAATAAGATAGAAGAGAATTGGCTGAAATCCGTATAAACTTTCGCAGGCAACTAACAAGGAGTTCTTATCGCGCAATAAATCCCGAGATGACTCGTCGGATAATACTGGAGGATTTAGCAGGAGGTAATTGTCCACTCATTAGCAGCTAAGTGAATTCATCGATCTGCCGTCGCAACTATTGTGCCGAACGTTTGTTCCGACAGCTATATTGTATCCTGGGTGGCAACAATGGCACCGTGAACTGTCTCCATCGTATCATTATTCTAGATGACGAGAGGGCCGGTTGTCACGGACCGCCGCCGAGTTTCCTGCGGCAATTCCGCGTTCGATCGTTTCCGACGGGGCTTCTTGACGGCTTATTTAAATGATAATGCGGCAACGAGACTCGCAATTAAAAACCACCGTTACGAACCACGCCTCCGAGAATTTTCGTCGGAAATTATGATTGATAGCGAGATCACTTTAACGTTGGAGATAGGAATGTTTGCCAATAATCATCTTTTGGTAGTTCTAGCGTTAATATGGAAATGTTTTTAAGTGATCGTCTTTTGGTAATTCTAGTGTTAATATAGAAATGTTTTCAAAGAATCATCTTTCAATAGTTCTAGTGTTAATATAGAAATATTTTCAAAGAATCATCTTTCAATAGTTCTAGTGTTAATATATAAATGTTTCCAAACAATCATCTTTCGGTAGTTCTATTGTTAATATAGAAATGTTTTCAAAGAATCATCTTTTGATAGTTTTACTGTTAATATAGAAATGTTTTCAAAGAATCATCTTTTGATAATTCTAGTGTCAACATAGAAATTTTTTTAAGTAATCATCTTTTGGTAGTTCTAGTGTTAATATAGAAATTTTTTTAAGTCATCATCTTTTGGTACTTCTAGTGTTAATACAGAAATGTTTTGAAAGAATCATCTTTTAGTAGTTCTAGTATTAATACAGAAATATTTTCCAATAATAATCTTTCGGTAGTTATTCAACGAACCACAAACATATGGTTCATCAAATGGTTTGGTAATTAGAAAACATTGCCGTATAGTCGAAAATTAATCTCCTTATTAATAATTTCAATATCCCCATCAATCTTAAAAATTCACCCGCTAGATACCAAAACTGTAAATTACAGCCCACTGTAAACAAATGAACGCTACATTAGAAACAAGAAGACAATTAATTCTTAGCTTGACGAAACGTCACGAAAGAGACAGCAGAGATAAGGAGCTCTTGTTATTCTTTGATGAAAGTGAACGATTATATAAAACGAAGAAACAATGAGGATGCCATTGATCCCGCTCGCCGAAAGTCCACAAATATTAGACAATATTACGTTATCTTACGTAATTTCTCTGCCCGAGTGATCCGACTACGACAACACCGGGCTTACGTGTTACATGGCGGTGCTCGTTTGATTTATGAACCGCGAGACAGCCTCCCGTTAGGCAAACGCGGCCAGACCTTGGTCGAGATAGGCAAATAGAACGAATCCATCGTTAATATTTTATTGTTCGACTTGGCGGTCGATTCGCGTAGTCACCGTGAATTCTGCTGGAAATTTGTTTAACTGGAACTCTGTAATGCATGGGAACGTGAATAATACGAGTGGTACTGTGCTGTAGTACGAACGAGGAAATGGAATTTATGAAATAAGGTGGAGCATGAGAATGGAAAGATTTATGAAAGGGATGAGATGGTAATGAAGGTGA